AGGTGGCAGAACAAACCGTCGGAGAATTTTAAGCAAGTCGAACATTCAGGAACAGAACATGGTACATCTTTCATGTGGCTCACATTACCGTAAATCACTTTGTTTTTGCTTTACTTTTATATTATCAGTGAGTCACTTTCTGTACCATGAATTTAACATAACCGCGAACAAATCATTCGCTGACTTTCTTCTGCACCTGTCATAACTGTGAACATATAGTTCCGCAAACATGTCCCGCAAACATGTCCACTTTTCTAAGGCTGCGAAATTTTGCTACCACCAATATAAAGTGACTTACAGTATTATCCATGAACCTTGTAGTGATTACAAAGCAAAGTGAACGATATCAACGGGGATCAAAAAGCTTGCTGAGCAAAAACCCTGCCTTTCCACCTACGTATACGATGTGACGAAAGGAGGGAAATTGATCGCATCTCTTTAGAGTCACCGTAACAGATACAGCTGGGAGCCTGCACAAAGACCCTCTTCACAACCTGTCCCAGACTTTAATTTCGGCGTCTAGTTCCACTCGCACAAGATTCTGATTAAGGTCGACTCATTTCCTGTCTGTGTGCATGTGAGGTATCAGATCTGGAGCGGGGACACGCAATTACAATGGGAACACGGAGAGATCCGACTTCGGTGTCGCACTGTGGGCTGTGGAATCAAATTCTATACTCCCACTCCCTATAGCTTATCCCTAGGGGGTCATGGTGGGTCAGTGTCCTGAACAGTGCACAGGAGTTGATAGTCTGCCTTCTCTTTCTCTCATCCCGATGTAATTTTCCTGCTGAGATCTGCCCCTTCACCCTACACTATGTGTACATGGAGACATCATTGGAACCCCAAAACTGATTGCGAGCGTGCGAATAGAAAAAAAAGTTTGGTAAAAAAAAGTTGCCAAGTTGTCTTCATTATGAAATCTACATGGTTAGGGAGGCTGAACAGACTATGGTTTGGCGGTGGATTGCTCATTCCTTGACAAAAATTGGAGTTGTACAGTTGAAATTATGGGGAATGTCCAATTTCTTGTGTTGGAAATTACAGTTTAAACTTGCTTTCTACCCACACAGATGAACTTTCAAGATACATGTAACAAGTTTAACACAGAATCTTTAGCAGGCTCTACAAGACAGCCTTTGTAGGGACTTATACTGTGTTTTGCTTGAGTATTCAATCTCCCGTGGGCCCGGCTTCCTAGAAACCGAGTACAGAGAACTAATACGCCATCAAGAAGAAAAGCACATCCAAGAAGCCTGGCTAATAGAGTGTGCTAAGAAGACTACGTTTAGCAATAGTCAACTGCCTGACCCTTCCTGATTACCAGGTCCTCCCATAGGACAGTGTACTACTAATCAGTACACCAGAACTCAAGAATAATGATCCCTGTTGAAGCATTTCTAAAGTTTCTGATGTGTTGTCTACTCTACAAGAAAGGACACCTGAGGCAAATGGATTTTCAGTCTAGACAAAAAGGGTGTAAAGCCGTGTGTGGAAAAAGTTGACGCGAACCTGACCTACTAAGGTATACCTAGCACGTCTGCAGAACGTACTGCACCCACACGAAACCTGTTTTCCTTGGATGTTTGGTCACTGTTGCCTCAGAATTTTGCCTGTTGCACTTGATACTGTAAATCACAGTTTTTTTGTACTTTTATATTTGTGGTTTTCGTGGTCACTTCTATAGCCCGAACTTATCATCACCATTAACAAATAATTCGGCTGCTATCTTTTTTCTGCACCTACCGCTACTGCGAACGTACAGTTCTGTGAACTGTCCATTTTTCTCAGACAGCATTAACTTTTGCTACCGCAAACATAAACTGAATTACTATATTTTTCTGACACTAAATTTGAAAACTACAGATGGGATGATATCCTTAAAAATACACGTTGAATACAACCTTAAAACAAGACATTCTGCCAAAGTGCTATGCACAATACATTACGGGTTTCGCGCAGGTGCAGTACGTTCTGCCGACGTGCTGATAAACTTGATGTTGGAAAAACTTTGTTATCCGGAGGCTGATCTGCAGCAATGATGACCCCCTTTAAGGCCTACCTTCTCCATCCACAGTGTCAGAGCGATGCAGCATCACTAATCTTCTGTAGCTAATGATGTAACAATTGGTGCTGATTACAGGCCAGGTGTTGGCACTCATTCACTTTCCCCGGTCGGTCGGTTTGGTCTCCGAACACCAATATCATGATGAGGAGCTCTCGCTGTCATCAGGAGAAATAGATTGGATCCAAGGCCGAGTGAGCAGGGCGCCGACTAGACAGTGCCGGGCTCAAAATTACTTTTTTTTTCTGCATACCAGTGCAGGTTACATTTAAAGTTAGAGTACTCCACGCGCCCATCTCCATTTCTGTAGACCTTGGGGCCACTCCAATTGTGCAATCACTACAGCAGGGGGCCAGTCCACTAGTAGTGGTGTGTGTTTAACTCTCATAATCTTTCTCAAATGCTGAGTGCTAAGAAAGCAGTTTGTACACATGTACCATTTTTAAAGTCCTTGGTATGACTCAGCCAGGGATCGAACTCATGACCTATTACATGTAAATGCAAGGCGAGCATTCTACCCACTTGGCCATTGCACCTGCACCACACAAGTTTTACCTGCATTTTAAAACTGTTCAGAAACCATTGTTCTTTTATACTTTATAGGTGGTAACAGCCAATGCAGCAAAAAGAATCCACTTAAGATGTACATACATATATATATATATACCCAGTACATGGACCAGTGCAGGTTAGGTGCAGGTAGACATCAAGAAACACCTACACAGCTACCTAATTTTACCAGCACTAAGGTGCATATACCCAGTACATGGACCAGTGCAGGTTAGGTGCAGGTAGACATCAGAAATACCTTCACAGCTCCAATTTTACCTGCACTAACCTGCATATACCCAGTACATGGACCAGTGCAGGTTAGGTGCAGGTAGGCATCAGAAATACCTTCACAGCTCCAATTTTACCTGCACTAACCTGCATATGTCCAGTATATGGACCAGTACAGGTTAGATGCAGGTAGACATCAGAAATACCTGCACAGCCCCAATTTTACATGCACTAACCTGCATATACCCAGTACATGGACCAGTGCAGGTAGATATCAGAAATACCTGCACACTCCAATTCTACCTGCACTAAGGTCCATAAACACCCAGTATTTCCAGCCCTGCAGTGTAACTACATGTATGTATGTAGTCAGTCCAAGACAGCAGTAAACCAATCAATGTCTCATAAGGGCTGAGGATGTTAAAGGAGTATCTGGATGTACTAAAACTGGTCTCACTGAGATGGGGAACTGCCCAGGCACAGTTCTGTTGGGTCTGGTGTAATTTCAGGAGGTGCTCTGTTAATCTAAGTGGTAATCAATCAATGTGATACTGGGGGGCTAACAGTGTTTGTTCAACCTTCCCTACTTTTGATTTAACCTCGGCAAACTGATGAGTCAAGGCCTACTTTCAATTAGCGCGGGTGATTTATGTAAGACTACCAGTGGAAACAAGCACTTAATCACGCCAGCTAGACTTATCATGGCTTTCAATGGCAGGGTACAACCATATCCAAAATATACTTTTTTTTCATACATCGTAGTCCAAAGGCCACACCAATTTGATTTGTTGGTTCTCTCTTTCTCTTTTTTTGCAGAAAAAAACATATGAAGCGACATGGCGAAAAAAAAATTAAACAAAACAGGCCTAGGCATTCTACGATAACCCCAATGCATGATGGGAGCCATGATGTAAAAATAAGAGGCTAGTTTGTAGGCAAAACTTCTAATCAAACTACTGCATTGATAGATGGGAAAACTGTATAAACTCTAAAAAATAAGGGACTTCCTTCAACTGTTGGGGCCAAGATATGAGCATTTTGTAGTTGATTATGACCCCCTTTTTTTGCAAATCAGAAAAAAATGAAGCGGGTGAATCCGTGAACCAACAAATCAAATTGGTGTGGCCTTGTCATTGATTTCAATGGCAGTCTACAACTACATGAAAAATGTTTTTTGGTAAATCATTCCCATAACCCTACCTCTGAAAGTCTAGAACTTTCATGTACTTTTCTATCCTCTGTAAGTGTAAAATATGTTAGGAGAAAAGTTGCATCACCCAATAGATAAGTCAGAAAAACATCCCTATCTTCCCTCCTAAATATCTGCCTGTCACACAGGTCATTGAATAAGTTTAATATACAAGTTTCGAGTTATCTATATGTATGACAGCACGACTCTGCTTCAAAAATTGATCGGAAAATTACTCCTTTTTCCAATATTGTGTTATTGCCTGAAAGATGTGGCAGTCATATGAAAGAAATTTCTGAGCCCTGTGAGTATCGATACACACAAAGGAATAACAAAACAGATCCATCTTATCTATCTGCGATTTCTAACCTCATAAATTTGAATGGATGTTATTAGCTGGGGAACAAACACATGCAATATTTCACCCAGAAATGCATACATAATTACGTATTTTAAGGCACTGTGAAGTAAGTCTAAACTTGAAGACAATAAAGGTCAACACTGTGCATAGTAAAGCCCCCCGTCACACATTCACGAATTTGGCCTCCCGAACACAAGGTGAATACGTGCCGACCATGGAGGAGTGGATTGGCCCAAAGTTGGCCGGGTCAGTTGGTGAATTCGGCTACGGTTCGGCTGCGCCAGCCGAATGTTTAAAAATGTTTCAAACATTTGAGAGGCGCTCGTGAGGTTTGATCATAGTTGGTTTGTTTTAGACCGTACGCCAGCAAAAACACCATCCAGCCATCCGGGAGTAAGTCAGCAGTGTTGGGAAGTGTGTTCGGGGATCAAATTTGACTGTGATTTAACTCAAATTCGTTAAGATTCATGTAAAAAGGTAGGTGTGGCCTAAATCTGGTCAGAGTGCTCCCGAACATCAGCTAGTCGGCTGGTGTTCGGGGGAAGGTCGTGAATGTGTGACACAGGCTAATTTAATGCAGTTCGTTGCCCCCGGGTGTAACTTACAGCTTGGATCTTGTCGTATTCCTGCAGGACTTGTTTCTGTATTCTCTTGTAGTTATTGCTCCCTTCAGGCAGCTTTCGCAGCTCCGCCTCCAGGTCGCTGAATCTCTGCGAAACCTTCTGGATGTTGGCGTACAGCTGCTTGTACTCCTCGTACTCCCGGTTGAAGTCCATCTTGTAAGACTGCCGCTGGTCGTATTTCGAGATTGGTGGGTAGTGACTGGAGGAAAGAATATCAAATTTCGTCCCTAAATGGATTTCCATTCCTCACCACATGATCTGTTCTCTATTATTCCAGCATTACCGGCGACAAATCTATCTATGGGACAGTCTAAATGTATACGGATAGTCATTCACAGTAATGAAGAGAACTCAGAATCAAATTGAGAACATATCAGATCAAATTAGGAGCATGTCTAATGCATTATAGAAAGAGGGATGNGATCCGACTTCGGTGTCGCACTGTGGGCTGTGGAATCAAATTCTATACTCCCACTCCCTATAGCTCATCCCTAGGGGGTCATGGTGGGTCAGTGTCCTGAACAGTACACAGGAGTTGATAGTCTGCCTTCTCTTTCTCTCATCCCGGATGTAATTTTCCTGCTCAGATCTGCTCCTTCACCCTACACTATGTGTACATGGAGACATCATTGGAACCCCCAAAACTGATTGCGAGCGTGCGAATAGAAAAAAAAGTTTGGTAAAAAAAGTTGCCAAGTTGTCTTCATTATGAAATCTACATGGTTAGGGAGGCTGAACAGACTATGGTTTGAAGGTGGATTGCTCATTCCTTGACAAAAATTGGAGTTGTACAGTTGAAATTATGGGGAATGTCCAATTTCTTGTGTTGGAAATTACAGTTTAAACTTGCTTTCTACCCACACAGATGAACTTTCAAGATACATTTAACAAGTTTAACACAGAATCTTTAGCAGGCTCTACAAGACAGCCTTTGTAGGGACTTATACTGTGTTTTGCTTGAGTATTCAATCTCCCGTGGGCCCGGCTTCCTAGAAACCGAGTACAGAGAACTAATATGCCATCAAGAAGAAAAGCACATCCAAGAAGCCTGACTAATAGAGTGTGCTAAGAAGACTACGTTTAGCAATAGTCAACTGCCTGACCCTTCCTGATTACCAGGTCCTCCCATAGGACAGTGTACTACTAATCAGTACACCAGAACTCAAGAATAATGACCCCTGTTGAAGCATTTCTAAAGTTTCTGATGTGTTGTCTACTCTACAAGAAAGGACACCTGAGGCAAATGGATTTTCAGTCTAGACAAAAAGGGTGTAAAGCCGTGTGTGGAAAAAGTTGACGCGAACCTGACCTACTAAGGTATACCTAGCACGTCTGCAGAACGTACTGCACCTACACGAAACCTGTTTTCGTTGGATGTTTGGTCACTGTTGCCTCAGAATTTTGCCTGTTGCACTTGATACTGTAAATCACAGTTTTTTTGTACTTTTATATTTGTGGTTTTCGTGGTCACTTCTATAGCCCGAACTTATCATCACCATGAACAAATAATTCGGCTGCTATCTTTTTTCTGCACCTACCGCTACTGCGAACATACAGTTCTGTGAACTGTCCATTTTTCTCAGACAGCATTAACTTTTGCTACCGCAAACATAAACTGAATTACTATATTTTTCTGACACTAAATTTGAAAACTACAGATGGGATGATATCCTTAAAAATACACGTTGAATACAACCTTAAAACAAGACATTCTGCCACCTACGCACAATACATTACGGGTTTCGCGCAGGTGCAGTACGTTCTGCCGACGTGCTGATAAACTTGATGTTGGAAAAACTTTGTTATCCGGTGGCTGATCTGCAGTTATGATGACCCCCTTTAAGGCCTACCTTCTCCATCCACACTGCCAGAACGATGCAGCATCACTAATCTTCTGTAGCTAATGATGTAACAATTGGTGCTGATTACAGGCCAGGCGTTGGCACTCATTCATTTCCCCCGGTGGCGGTTTGGTCTCCGAACACCAATATCATGATGAGGAGCTCTCGCTAGTCATCAGGAGAAATAGATTGGATCCAAGGCCGAGTGAGCAGGGCGCCGACTAGACAGTGCCGGGCTCAAAATACTTTTTTTTTCTGCATACCAGTGCAGGTAACATTTAAAGTTAGAGTACTCCACGCGCCCATCTCCATTTCTGTAGACCTTGGGCCACTCAATTGTGCAATCACTACAGCAGGGGGCCAGTCCACTAGTAGTGGTGTGTGTTTAACTCTCATAATCTTTCTCAAATGCTGAGTGCTAAGAAGCAGTTTGTACACATGTACCATTTTTTAAAGTCCTTGGTATGACTTAGCCAGGGATCGAACTCGTGACCTACTAAATGCAGGGCGAGCACTCTACCCACTTGGCCATTGCACCTGTACCAGACAAATTTTACCTGCATATACTGTTCAGAAACCATTGTTCTTTTATACTTTATAGGTGGTAACAGCCAATGCAGCAAAAAGAATCCACTTAAGATGTACATATGTATATATATATACCCAGTACATGGCCCAGTGCAGGTTAGGTGCAGGTAGACATCAGAAATACCTGCACAGCTCCAATTTTACCAGCACTAAGGTGCATATACCCAGTACATGGACCAGTGCAGGTTAGGTGCAGGTAGACATCAGAAATACCTTCACAGCTCCAATTTTACCTGCACTAACCTGCATATACCCAGTACATGGACCAGTGCAGGTTAGGTGCAGGTAGGCATCAGAAATACCTTCACAGCTCCAATTTTACCCGCACTAACCTGCATATGTCCAGTATATGGACCAGTACAGGTTAGATGCAGGTAGACATCAGAAATACCTGCACAGCCCCAATTTTACATGCACTAACCTGCATATACCCAGTACATGGACCAGTGCAGGTAGATATCAGAAATACCTGCACACTCCAATTCTACCTGCACTAAGGTCCATAAACACCCAGTATTTCCAGCCCTGCAGTGTAACTACATGTATGTATGTAGTCGGTCCAAGACAGCAGTAAACCAATCAATGTCTCATTAGGGCTGAGGATGTTAAAGGAGTATCTGGATGTACTAAAACTGGACTCACTGAGATGGGGAACTGCCCAGGCACAGTTCTGTTGGGTCTGGTGTAATTTCAGGAGGTGCTCTGTTAATTTAAGTGGTAATCAATCAATGTGATACTGGGGGGCTAACAGTGTTTGTTCAACCTTCCCTACTTTTGATTTAACCTCGGCAAACTGATGAGTCAAGGCCTACTTTCAATTAGCGCGGGTGATTTATGTAAGACTACCAGTGGAAACAAGCACTTAATCACGCCAGCTAGACTTATCATGGCTTTCAATGGCAGGGTACAACCATATCCAAAATATACTTTTTTTTCTATACATCGTAGTCCAAAGGCCACACCAATTTGATTTGTTGGTTCTCTCTTTCTCTTTTTTTGCAGAAAAAAACATATGAAGCGACATGAAGCGAAAAAAATTAAACAAAACAGGCCAAGGCATTCTACGATAACCCCAAATGCTATGATGGGAGCCATGATGTAAAAATAAGAGGCTGGTTTGTAAGCAAACTGCTAATCAAACCCCTGCATTGATAGATGGGAAAACTGTATAAACTCTAAAAATAAGGGACTTCCTTCAACTGTTGGGGCCAAGATATGAGCATTTTGTAGTTGATTATGACCCCCCTTTTTTGCAGATCAGAAAAAAATGAAGCGGGTGAATCCGTGAACCAACAAATCAAATTGGTGTGGCCTTGTCATTGATTTCAATGGCAGTCTACAACTACATGAAAAATGTTTTTTGATAAATCATTCCCCATAACCCTACCTCTGAAAGTCTAGAACTTTCATGTACTTTTCTATCCTCTGTAAGTGTAAATATGTTAGGAGAAAAGTTGCATCACCCAATAGATAAGTCAGAAAAACATCCCTATCTTCCCTCCTAAATATCTGCCTGTCACACAGGTTATTGAATAAGTTTAATATACAAGTTTCGAGTTATCTATATGTATGACAGCACGACTCTGCTTCAAAAATTGATCGGAATATTACTCCTTTTCCAATATTGTGTTATTGCCTGAAAGATGTGGCAGTCATATGAAAGAAATTTCTGAGCCCTGTGAGTATCGATACACACAAAGGAATAACAAAACAGATCCATCTTATCTATCTGCGATTTCTAACCTCATAAATTTGAATGGATGTTATTAGCTGGGGAACAAACACAATGCAATATTTCACCCAGAAATGCATACATAATTACGTATTTTAAGGCACTGTGAAGTAAGTCTAAACTTGACGGCAATAAAGGTCAGCACAGTACAGTAAAGCCCCCGTCACACATTCACGAATTTGGCCTCCCGAACACAAGGTGAATACGTGCCGACCATGGAGGAGTGGATTGGCCCAAAGTTGACCGGGTCAGTTGGGGAATTCGGCTACGGTTCTGCTGCGCCAGCCGAATGTTTAAAAATGTTTAAAACATTTGAGAGGCGCTCGTGAGGTTTGATCATAGTTGGTTTGTTTTAGACCGTAAGTCAGCAAAAACACCATCCAGCCATCGGGGAGTAAGTCAGCAGTGTTGGGAAGTGTGTTCGGGGATCAAATTTGACTGTGATTCAACTCAAATTCGTTAAGATTCATGTAAAAAGGTAGGCGTGGCCTAAATCTGGTCAGAGTGCTCCCGAACATCAGCTAGTCGGCTGGTGTTCGGGGGAAGGTCGTGAATGTGTGACACGGGCTAATTTAATGCAGTTCGTTGCCCCCGGGTGTAACTTACAGCTTGGATCTTGTCGTATTCCTGCAGGACTTGTTTCTGTATTCTCTTGTAGTTATTGCTCCCTTCAGGCAGCTTTCGCAGCTCCGCCTCCAGGTCGCTGAATCTCTGCGAAACCTTCTGGATGTTGGCGTACAGCTGCTTGTACTCCTCGTACTCCCGGTTGAAGTCCATCTTGTAAGACTGCCGCTGGTCGTATTTCGAGATTGGTGGGTAGTGACTGGAGGAAAGAATATCAAATTTCGTCCCTAAATGGATTTCCATTCCTCACCACATGATCTGTTCTCTATTATTCCAGCATTACCGGCGACAAATCTATCTATGGGACAGTCTAAATGTATACGGATAGTCATTCACAGTAATGAAGAGAACTCAGAATCAAATTGAGAACATATCAGATCAAATTAGGAGCATGTCTAATGCATTATAGAAAGAGGGATGGCTTTTTTTTCAGAAAGTTTAAACGAAGGCACCCAATGCAATTTTGAAGTGCCAGAACAAATAAGAAATATTCTGAATGGGAAATCTGTCTGATATTGACATGTACTGACATTTGCAGCACACTTCATACTTGAAGTGTTCAAAATAGCCCAAATACAAGCTATGTGAGGAGTCCCTTTATTTTTGGGTGCCACCCATGACGCAGATTTGGGTGCCACCCAAATCTGCGTCACAGATATCAGTATGCTATGGGATAGAATTATTCTAACTTACTACATTTGAAGTATGACCATGAAATTGACTTTAATGATGCCCTGAAATTGTATGGGATGACTTTAAGGAAACACGGCACGTCCGCCAGGTTTCGCAGCCTTACCTGATATACGTTGGCATCTCCGATGTGGAGGTGGCGACGGATTGTTCATTGGCACTTGGGGATGACGGCGCATCTATTATACAACCAGAAAAGAAAATTTACCACATTAATGTAAAATCAAGGACATAAAAATGACATGTTTAGGGCTCCCTGTGATGAAGCTCACCCGCCTCGGTCGTAACTCTCCCCCCTCAGACAAGAGATGAAAAATTCAAGATCTTGAAAATTGCAAGATGTGAGAGGCTTCGGCCAATTTGTTTTCTTTAGATCATCAAAGAGGAAATGTAATCTCCATTTCACAGGCTTCGTGAACTGTGAAGATAAGCCTTCCCTCGGGGCTTAATGAACATCAAAACACAAAACCAAAACAACAGCTATCATGACTTCGCTCCTTGATCTCTGTCTTTGAGATCCTCCGAAGGGAAGACAAATTTTTCCTTCAAGATTTAATGAAGGGTCTAATGGGCTTTCTGGCATTTTCTTCTCTCCAAACAGCCAATTTGTAAAGGAATACCAAGTACAGTAACCTCGTAAAAGTTGGAGCAAAGAGTCCACAAATGGGACATATTTACAATTCTTTCCAGTAACCTCCAGTTGATGAACTTTTTCCCTCTTGAAACTTTCATTGTCATTTTTCACCGTCAGCATAAAAAAGCCCATATGTCACTGACAACATGAGGAACTCTGAGGGCAATAAAAAAACACTAAGAAAGCTCCTTGGCTCCTCATATAGAATCCGGTATCTATCATAATACATAAATTTTCACAGATTTCCATCAAATATATTTCCTTGCTAGAAAACACCGGACTGATTTTGCTGATGACATAAAAAGTTTGTTTGCTTTGGAAGTAGTAAAATGTTGGGATTTATGGCAACTCAATGCCTTTGCCGTTATTTTTTTGGCTAAGACTGTAACATATTTTACTACACAAGCCTTACCATTCTACACAGGGTGCCATTTTAACAGGCTTTCAAAATTCACTCTTACAGTAAGAGAGAAAAAGAGAGAATATGGAAGCATTGGTAAACTAACTAGGATGGCACCCAGACTACGATTTAGTCTTATGGTCGTATGTTCCAAGAACTATCGTAGAGTGGAACTCGTTGCCACCAAGCACAGTTGGGGCATCATTACTAGATAGCTTTTACACAACTCCAGCAGTTAAAATGTGCAAAAATTGGGTGTAACAGGTCGTTCGGTGTAATATACATTTTTGTACCTAACCGCCAAAGGGTGGTCTATACCGACTACAAATATGGCTGCAAATAATATTTTGATACTTGAAATGGCAGTCTACATCAAAACAAATTGTAAGTTTTAAAGAGAAGTATGACATTCATATTTTGGAGAAGAATTGTACTTGTCTTTTTTTTTTGCACAAAAAAAATCATGGTGATATACAAATTGAGCACGTCGGCAGAACATACTGCACCTGTGTGAAACCCGTGATGTATTGTGCATAGCACTTTGGCAGAACGTCTCATATAAGGTCGTATTCATGCGTATAAGCTTAACACACCGTCTGTAGTGTCCAAATGTTGTGTCGGAAAAAATATGGTCTGCAACAGGCAAAATTCTGATGCAATGTTGGCCAAAAATCCAACGAAAACCGTGAAAACTGGGGGGGGGGTAGCCCAGACGCAGTATGTTCTGCCAACGTGCTACAAAATTGTATACCAAGCCATTGTGAGAACTTCTTCCTTCACCTATTACATATTAGCTTTCAGCTGCTGAAGGGCTGGTTACTCTTGGAATGCCACTTTGCAAAAATTAGGGTTATAGGGTTGTCTAACCAATATCATGAATCAAGCTTGTACCACATCTACCCTGTGTGAGTCCAGACCTCCCCCTGCCACGCGTGCAATTCACCAGTTTTGCAAATCGCATCTGGAATGCTCAAGTACACTTTTCTAGCAAAAGATCTTCAATCTTCAACTTCATTGTAGTAGTTCTCTCAAAGGGGCATGTATCGCACCGTATATTACAACTATATATAGCCCCGACGCTTTGATGTACCATCCCATTTAGGACTGCAAAACTATTGACTTTGGAAATCCGGCACCGTTTCTGCTGTCTTTGATTAGTGGACGTACATATTAAAGTCGGGATACGGAGGATTTTTATGGGCAAGAGGAGGCGACTTAACGCGCGCCATAATCCACGCTTGGGTGATTTCTGTACTGGAATCCAATATGCGTAATTCATTAGGATCGGTTCGGCAGTTCATTTACCAAGAAATGAAGTATCAGCACACTTGGTTTGGGTAACGACCTTCCAGTATCTGATCCGAAATACTAATTTCGCACATAAGGGTCATCGTTTTGGCAGACAAAGGTGTTCTCCACTTGCAAAGACACATCCTTTAAATCACACCCGGATTTACCATCACTCAATGATGTTAAACAAAGGACCACATAAAGTACACTGACATCCAACAAATCTTGTGCATTAGGGCACAGCAGAGATTCACACAGAAGTACATGTAAGCAGTAAATATGGCGATGGATAGAGATATTTGGACAGCGCAAAATAAACAGTGCCATAAATAATACAATGGAAAACTGTACATCATTCTATACCTACCATTGTCTGTATACAATACACTATACTAAGTGCTTACAATTGGCATGGAAAATAGACAAAACAGAAAAAAAAACTTTTAACTGTATCCATAACTTTGAATCAGTGAGAATACTGTTTATTGCACATTCAAGGACAACAATTTTTTTAAGAATAACGCCATGAAATATAAATATTCCAGGCAAAGTAGAAGCCCAGTCAGGATAACACACTCTCTTAATTCAACAGGTGCCACCTACCAATTTTGGTTAAAACTGCAGGTGCCATTTCCAATACCCATTCTTCACCACATCGGGACGTCAAGAGGCGTGTATCCTGACATAGCTCCTTCTTACAGTACCAGTATTAGAAAATCATTCCACTCCCTATCCTCCGCCTTTTTTATCTTTCTGTGTGGATGTTCTTCTCCACTCATCACAAGGCTATTGGTCCCTCGCTGCAGATTAAACCAACTCCAGACTTGAGCCCTGGACTTTTCCGTAGCCCCCCTGAAATCCCCCCATGCATCACTGACAAGTGGGACACGTTCTTCGGCGTGTTAAACTAGGAAACTCCTGCACCTGCACGTTAACTCTAAACCCCGTCGTTTGTCAACCCTACGCTGTTAACCCGACATAACAGTAGAGTCCAAGGCCAATGCCACAGGAACATTACGGAGTCAGTGACATTTTTATGATGAAATCACTCAGGTCTAAATAATGTCTTACGGACGGGTGAAGAATAAGATATTGTTGTACGGGAGACAGATTTGTGTACACACACTTCTCCCTCACTGCCCATTCTTCTACATTCTTTGTCAAGAAGAATGGGTGTATGTGTGTATGAAACCGCCCTGGCACAAGAATAACTTTTCTATTATATACTTTACAGTGATGATCCTAATATGAGGTACAACTGCTAAATATTAATCCCAGCTAATGGGGCTTAGTAGCGTAAGGCCACACCAATTTAATTTGTTGGTTCTCGGATTTTTTCAGAAAAAATATGAAGCGACAGGGCGAAAAAAAATAAAAATAAAAACAGGTCTAGGCATCCTATTATAGGCTTAAATGCTACAAAATGAGCCATGAAGTCAACACAAAAGGCTGGGTTAAAATTTAAACATTGAATTTTGAACTTTTAATCAAACCACTGCAATGATAGATGGGAAAACTGTAACAACTAGGAACAAAAGGACTTTCCTCTAACTGTTGGGGGGCAAAAACATAAAG